GCTGGCCTGATTGCTCCTCACTGCCTCTGCGTGCCAGCCTGATCACCCCCAACTGACCCCCTCTGCTGGCCTGGTTGCCCCCAACTGCCTCCCCTGCTGGCCTGGTTGCCCCTCACAGCCCATCCCCTCCTCCGCCCCACACTGGCCTGGTTGCCCCATGCAGCCTGCTTGCTCAGTCATTTGGTCATCCCTCACTAACCCCCCTGCTGGCCTGGTCATAGGTAGCCATCTTGTGAGGGTGTGAGGGTTAATTTGCATATTAATGCTTTATTATATAGGTTTCCACAAGGTGTAATACATTCTGTTGCTCAATCAAATGTGATTAATTGGATTACCCCAGGAGCAGATTAGGGAGCGTTCTTCTGAAGTTGGGGATGGTTTGCCAGGGGTGGTTATGTTTATAGTGAGACCCACACATGAGGAGAACCCGCCCTCAGCTTCTGTTCTTCAAGGTAATGCAATTGATCAGAGAATGACTGAGCATCAGCATGTATTGCTCCCTGTTTTACAAAAGGGACACATTGCATTTCCAATGACCACATGAAGTATGGAGCACAAAATACACAGGTGTGATATTCTGACTGTAGACGACAGTGTTAGGACACAGCGGAGGGGAGAGGAGATGACTAATTTAGCCTGCAGGTGTATAATAAATTGGTGAACGATGAGTTAAGGGGATTGGCCTCCACATGCAGGTAGGGATTTTCAAATAAGTTGAAGGCCTTAAAAGACCAGTAAGATGGACACCATCTCCCCCTCCCCACCCAAAAGGAGGGAATTGTCCAGCAGACTGTCTTCAGACTTCAAGTGCAGCACTTGCTCTCCTGGGCGCCAGTATGCCAGCCTACCTGCAGGTTTTGGACATGACAACCACCATAATCACATGAGCCAATACTCCGACTCTTCTTTGTCCCCTAAAATAGGACACCCTCCCTGTATCATTAGGTAGAGAGACATCCTTCACACCAGACATAGGGAATTTAGAGCCAAGAAAGCTGAATAAACAAACCTTGTGACTTCATTACTAATTTACTACTCCAAGACCAAACTCTTGTCTTGTCAATTCTTCACAAATGTATTGTTTCTTTGTCAAAAGGTATAAAAGCTGCTACTTTGGTCACTTCAGAGTCTCATTTTCTCTGAGCACCCCTACGTGCCAAAGTAAAAATTGCTTTTCTCATTTAATCTGTCTCATGTTAATTTAATTACTAGAGCAATTAGAGGAACCTAGAAAGGCAGAAGAAAAATTCTTCTCTTCCAACAGTGAGAAGGGCACCACCATTTTCAAGAAGCTCAGTGATGGCTGTCTGATGGCCGGGCTTGACAGGTGGAGATGGTATTCCAGAAATGGGCTCCAGTAGTAATGGGGCTAAAAATAAATGTCCTGAAATAATACATTTGAGATACAGGCGTTCAACTGTCACAAGCAGACAGAGTGCCATTATTGAAATGATCAGAAAGGTTGGATGCCGAACAAGGGCCTGGCCATTAGGTCAGGTAGGCCCAGTAGCCAGGCCCAGGAAGCTGTCCCTTTGACTCATAGAACACAGTGATCCTAGAGACAAAACAGAAGGAGAGCCAGCCCAGAGAGTGCTGGATGTAAGTAATAAAATCAAAGACAAAACACAAGGATAAATACTTGGGAGGCTAAAAGCAGCCTCCAAGAAAGAGGCTGGGTCTTTTGCCAGTTTTGAGAACTGAGCCACTTCTGAGACCCGTAACCCATTACTAGGAGGAGAGGCCCGGTCCCCATGAGGAGGGACCCTTCAAGCTGACAGCAAGTGCCATATGGCTATTGATTTGGCTAAATGTACACCCACCGGGAAACAGAAACCACCCAGACATTCACATTGGATCCAGTGTGTCAGTTGACATCATTTCCAGACACCAGAAGCATCACCATTGGTCCTGTTATGAAAGTGGTGCACGTGGTTGGGGCCCAGGTAATGCATAGACACCTGTCCCAGGCTCTGCTCACAGTGGTGTCTTCTCTTTCCTCCAAATAGATTGTTCAAACAGTATCTTTTCCTCAATGAAATAATAGAGAAGACTACTAATCTTAAACCCTCTGTAAGGATGCGGTGGTGTGATCCCTTTCCTATCTTTATTATGTTTCCAGCCTGGTCAGAAGACATTCCATTGATGGCATATATCACATATGTCAGGCTTGCAGATCAGAAGTCTGTGCAACTACTCAGCTCTGCTGTGTGGCATGAAAGCAGGGATAGACAATAGGTGATGGGGTGAATGTCGCTGGATCTCACTCTTGGTCCATAAAACCCAGCAAACCTATGATCTGAGAGGTATCTGTAGCAGGACAAGGTGCTAAGGGGAGTTCATGGCCTTCCTACTCGAGGATCACAGCAGAGACCCCTAATGATTTGAAGGAAGGCTATTTCTCTTGCCACAAAGGAGACCCTCACCATTCAAAGAGGCTCCTGGTAAAGTACTGGGACCTGGGAGAGATGAGGCCTCTGGCTATGTGGCATTAGAGTTGTCCATTGTGAGTATCATTAGGTCAGCTAGGCCCAGCAGTCAGAGAATAGAAGTGAGCAGGGTCACAGGGAATATCCTATATAATAAACGGGTAATATGCTAAAAAGATAGAGCAGAAGTCATTTGGGACCTCTATCCTTCCTTCTGGACCTTCCAGTTTTTCTGGGTAGGTGGCTGCCGCAGGATCCAGGAAGGCACTATGGCTGCGAGGGAGGTACCTGGCCCAGGCAACTGGAAGCCTACCTGCCTGCCCAAGGCTGCCAGGGAGGAAGCCAAGCAGCCACCCCAGGTTAGGGGTGATCAGGAAGGCAGGCAGAGTGGTTAGAGGCGACCAGGCAGGCAGGCAGGCAGGCAGGTGAGGAGTTAGGAGCTAGAGTTCCTGGATTGTGAGTGGGATGTCCAACTGCTGGTTTAGGCCCTATCTCGCTAAACCAGCAGTCAGACATCTCCCAAAGGGTCCCGGATTGTGAGAGGTCACAGGCCAGCCTGAAGGACCCCCACCCCCATCACACAAATTTCGTGCATCGGGCCTCTATTGTAAGATATAAAGAGAAATGTCCCTGATTTCCACACCAGAAATGTTGCACCAGCACTACCCTCAGGTTGCACCGATGACTTCCTGCAGGGTTTCACAGGACAGAGTGGTGCAGTTGCCTATTGCTGCACAATCCACATTCCCTCACTGATTCTACCCAGAAGCTACAGGCTGGACAGTGATCAGTTCTGGCTCTTCAACACTGAGGACAAATTGGACGGGGCACCCATATCTGTGACACACTACGTACTCTAAATGTTGGGTCCACAAAGTAGTACAGTGGCCATATCTGGTCCCCCATTTCCTTGCATGTGGTCTCTTACTGCTATGGCACCATGAAGGTAGAGGTGTGTGGTATATACAGAGACAGGCACTAAGTGGCCTGCAAAGATGATAACATTCACCATCTGTCAGTATATGGAGACCATCAGCAGACGTGAGCCCAAATCCATGACCATCACATGCTGTGCCTCCTCAGTAGGTGGAAAATATGGGTTTGGGACCCCAAAGAATTGGGTGGTAAAACGGGTTGAGCTGGGGAGAAGAGCAGTCACCATGAGAGCAGGTGTCTGAAATGAGTGCCTGGGGTTGCAGGTTCTGTGATCCCTGGAAGAGTTCGCTTTGAAGTTCTGGGTGAAGAGAAATGGTTCTGATGGAGGGTTTGCTGTGTGTGGCCAAGTGGGGGAGCAGGGAAGGGGCAAGGGTTGTGTTGGATCCTGTGGGTGGAGACCCTGCTGAACACCCCTGTCCTGGTAACTCCTCTTGTTCCTGCTTCCCCACGTGTGCGCTGGTGGAGGGAAGGAGGGGTCCTGGGTGGAAAAGTGTGTTGGGAGAGTGTGGGGTGTGGGTGGCTTTGTGGGTGTCATCAGGGCAGGCTTGGTATTCAGGAGGCATCTCTCTTTTCCTCTCCTGGGCTGCGGGTGGTGGGAACGGTGGCGGTAGAAAGTGGATTGGGAGTGTGTGTCTGTGGTGTCGTCCTGGTGTTACAGAAAAACCCGAGAAGAACCAAGCAACGCTTAGAGAGATGGAGTTACATTTATTATTATTACATGCAGGCCCAGAGGAAAAGGTCTCTCAAGTTCTGGGTGAAATCACACAGGAAGTTCCCTGTATTTATACCTTTTTACCCTTTTTGTCTCCCAAATATGGGGTTTTCTGGTCCCCTTTGCAAGTTCTTAAAGAGCCCCTATGTGCTGGGCGGGGCTTTGAGACCTCGACCAAAGGCTTGGCCCGGTGCCCTCACTGATAACTTCGTCTGGGTAATGTTTAATGGCCTCTCTGAAATGGGAGTAGTCTTATTTTCCTTATTATTTAAGCCAGTAAGCATTTACAGAAGCCAAAATGCAGGGTTAACATTTCAAACAGCAGTTTTTATATAAGATGCATGCTTCACTAAGAGGCTGCTTTGGGGAGGGCTAGACAATTGTCCTCGAGAAGTCAGAGAAAACGCGGGAAGGCGGGGAGGGGCAGGGAGGAATTGGCGGGAAAAAGTGGTGCCGGTCGCCGGTAGGTGGCGGCACGTGGCCGGAAGGACCGGCCCAGGCGTGAGGCTGGGATTCCATCTGCGCTCATTCACTGCCGGCACTTGTTCGCGGGGCGCCTCCGGTCCACGCTCCTCCGCAGGAAAGCGACAGCTCGGAAAAGAGCGGGGAGGAACGGTCTCGGTCTGGGACACTTTCCCCCGGCCCTCTGCGCGCCGCCGCCCGCCCGGAGCCGCCCGCCCGGAGCCGCCCGCGGCTCGCTGCTCGGAGCCACCCGCCTGTCCGCCGCAAGCCCTTCCTTCCCCCACCCGGCCGCTCGCCTGTCCGCCTTGGCGCACGGGTCCTTTCCCCGCCCGGAGCCGCCCCGGCCCGTAGCCTGTCCGCCTTGGCGCACCGGGTCCTTCCCCGCCCGGAGCCGCCCCGGCCGCTCGCCTGTCCGCCTTGGCGCCCATCCCCCTCAACCATCCGCCCGGAGGCGAACGCTCGCCATGCAGCGGTCCCCGGGCTCCGAGTTCGGCCTCGTCCTCCTGCTGCTCGCGGTGCTGCCTGACTGTGCGCGGGGGACTCCCTGCGTCCGCGGGCGCGGAGGTGAGTTCCTATGGGGTCTCAGCGGCGGCGCGGGGAGCGGGGGAGGGGGCAGCAGAGGCTTTAAACTCGCGGGCAGAGCCCGTGGCAGGTCCAGAACCTTCCTCCTCCGTCCCCTCCACGGTCTCAGCTCCCCCCCCCTCCCCGGCGTCCGGGCAGCTGGGTGCCTCCCGGGCAGAAGGGACAGGAAGAGGCGGCGGGAGAGAAGGTGATGCGGGGCCCGCTGGCCCGGGAGCGAAGGAAGAAAAGGGCGCTGCGGTTCCCAGTCCGCTCTCCCGCCGCCCCGGTCGTGCTTCTGGGGAACTGGGACCCCTGTCCCGGGACCCGGGGTTTCTCAGAGTCGGACCCACAGACAGGAACCCCCTTTCCCACAGCACGTTCACCCAGCCCCGCATCACCGCACTCTGTCCACCTGTGAAGTTTCCGAGCGCTCTGCCAGCAGTTTCCCGCTGCACACTTAGTCACCGGCCACTTCTCCTCTGGAGCCCGAGCTCTGCAGGTCCTACCTCCCCCCACTCTGCACCAGCATGTCCCACTCCTGTTCCCTCGGGAGCCCTTGCTCCCCTCCCCAGCCCACCCAGGTTTATTGCCCAATTCTCTGGGGTCCCCAAAACCAGTGCTTCCAATACCTTTTTATCTGTGATGTGAGCCTGATCACTTCCTCCGCCAAGTGGTACTTTGCCTGTTGCCTGAGGACACACCAGCCATAGCGTCTGCACCAGGAGCAGGAGGGACAACAGCGCATTTTTCCAAAGTATGACCCTGGGGTGCTGGTGAGGAAGGGGCACCCGCTCCCTCTACCCTTTGGTCCCAAACCCGTATTATCCACCTACTGTGGAGGCAGCAGCCTAGAAAGGAGATACATTAGGGCAGATCTGTAGGATTTTTTCTGTAAAGGGCAGACAGTGGGTGTTTTTCTTTACAGACCTCTTCGTGTATGCCTTCTGTGTAAGCACTAGGCACCTCCATGCTTGGGGTCCAAGAGCAGCCAAGGACAACATGCAAACTAATGAGGGATCAGCTGTGGCCATTGTCCTAGTGTCCTCACCCCAGATATGGGTGCCCATTCCCTAGGACAGTGGTCAGCAAACTCATTAGTCAACAGAGCCAAATATCAACAGTAAAATGATTGAAATTGTTTTGAGAGCCAAAAGTTTTAAACTTAACCCTTTGAGTGCCAACCAGTATCCTAGGAACTATGCTAAAATTGCCAAGGCATTTTTGCTGATTTTACAGCAGTTTAGGAAAAAAATTATGAATCGCAAGTAAATGAAGTTACATATTCAAAAACTTAAGGAAACCTGTACTACATTGACATATTTAGCAATATCATCATCACTAATAAAAGCAGACTTAGAACTGGACACCATTTCGAAGCTTTGATAGCGCTCCCAGCACTTTTGGCGAAAGACAGGAGGAGCACCATCGCGCTCCCTGGCACTCTAGGAGTTAAACTATATAGGTAGGTACATTGTTATTAACTTAATTAGGGTACTCCTAAGGCTTAGGAAGAGCCACAGTCAAGGGGCCAAAGAGCCACATGTGGCTCGGGAGCCGCACTTTGCCTACCACGGCCCTAGGAAATCATCTCCCAGGTGCCTCTGCAGTGTGTTGAAGAGCCAGAACCCTGCCCTTTCCTGCCTGTGGCTTTGGGCGGAGTGAATGTGAGAGGATGTGGATCCCACAGGTGGGGGGCCACTGCTCCCCTCCTTTCTGTGGAGGGATTCCCTGGTGGAAGAGGCCCATGAGGGACACTGCATGAAGCCATAGGTGTGAGCTGAGAGTGGTGCTGGTACAATTTGGTATAAAGATTGGAGCCACCTGTTTCTACATCTCATTTGTTCCCTGTGACCCTGTTCATTTCAATGCCAGAAAAATCACTTCTACCTTATGAGCAGTCGGCCTTCCTTACCTAGTGACCCTCATGATGGGCACTGGTAATACCCCTTAGCCAGAGGCCTCATCTCCACCAGGCCCTCCTTAATGGTGCGGATTTCCCTGATGCAAGTGGCATGGCCTGTCTTCTGACCCTGTGTGTCTGTGATATGACTTCTCCAATTAGGATGCCTTGAAGTACAGACCACCTTTTTCCAGCACTGACACCTCCAGTGTCCCCGACACTGTGGTTCAGAGGGCCCTAGTGACAGGTCCAGCTTCATTCATTCATTCATTCATTCATATTGTCTGGCTTCTTTCATGCTACAACACAGAGTTAAGTAGTTGCAAAGAGACCTATGGTCTGCACAGTCTAAACTACTTAGTAGCTAGCCATTTACAGAAAGTCTCCAGACCAGACTGTTACTACATGGCTATAGAATATGATTCATATCCTTCACCCTTTAGGGTTTAAAGTTGGTATTCATCTCTGTCATTTTATCCAGGATGAAATACTTTTTTGTTTGCTTATTTTTTAATATATTTTTATTGATTTCAGAGAGGAAGGGAGAGGGAGAGAGAGATAGAAGCATCAATGATAGAGAATCATTGATCAGCTGCCTCCTGCATGCCCACCCCCTCTCTGCAATGGGGATCTGACCAGCACCTGGGCATGTGCCCTGACCAGGAATCAAGCCGTGACCTCCTGGTTCATAGGTGCACACTCAACCCCTGAGCAACACCGGCTGACATAAAATACTGTTTTAACTTTCTATTTAGAGAAAAGGGAAGACAGTTTGAGAATATTATACTTAAATTTCCATACTATGTGTTTTGTCTTTGTTTGTTTTAATTATTTAAATCCAGAAGTTAGTATCCAGGTTGACTGTTGGTCTTTGCCTCTAGGATCACCCTGTTCTATGAGCCATAGTTATAGCTCTCTGTGGTTGAGGCTCTGGCTGGATTTCTGAGCTTCCTAATCATTTTGATGATCATATCTCCTTTGTCTTGACATAGCGCACCTGTACCTATAAGTTATTATGTTGACATTGTCTGTCCCCATTACTACTGGAAGCTATTTTGGGGAACACAGACCCTACCAGATTCCTGACCTTCAGCTAAAGTCATCAGTGAGCTTTTGAGAATTCTGGTGCTCTTCTCATCCATGCTTTCCTCATCAGCTTCATAAATCAGAATTTATCTTTAGGCTTTCCCAGGGAGCAGGTTGATTGGACACTCTTCTGCCTTTTCATATTATCTCCCCCTGGCATAGTCACTTCTCTGAGCCATCTGGTCCCTTCCTCTCCTATGTGCCTCAGAAGTTCTGGCTTTTCTGTTCCACGCATTGTAGCCATGCCTTCTCCCAAGCTTGCAAGATCTATCCTAGCAGCAAGTTAGCACTGCCTCCCTGGGCCATGCAAAATCCCATGACCCATAATTGTAAACTTCCTCTTCTCCAACCTTAGAATGAATCCAAATTCTCCCACCTGCCATCCAGCTTTCCCAACAGCAGCCCCTACATGCTGGGTACTGGGCCAGTTTCTGACAATCCTCGGGCATCTAGATCTATCCTCCTAGCCACCTGGCATGTCCCTGCATTGGTTATGGGCTGATGATGAGTATAGGCCTGGTGGACTCAGGGAGGACATATCTGGAGATGTGCGGTTTCCTGGCAGGCAGACGCCTCCTGGTCCTCCTCAAGCAAGAGGGGCACCAACCTTCCCCTGGTGAACGGAGGCACTGGGCAGGGTCAGGGCTGCTCTGCCAGCCCAGCCGTCCTGGGGATGGTCTTGCTGTCACAGAGATGGGGGAGTGGGTGTTTTGGGTCTTTTTCTTCCAACCCCAATCCTCAGCAGCATTTTTCCTTCACAGATTCTCACTCTGTTCACTATGATTTCAACATTTCTTTTAATGAACCATGGTGCATGGTCCAAGGACAGAAGGATGGAAAGAAGTCTCTTTTATATGACTGTGGCAGCAATAAGGTCATATTTATGAATCTCCTGAGAGATGAGGGAAAGGCCACGGATTACTGTAAAGTAATGCTCAGTACCCTGAACGATGTGCGTGACCATATCAAACCATTACTGACTGACATTAAACAGGAGAAATACCCAGATGGAGGTAAGTTTAAAAATCCAAGGGCATTAGTGAGCAGATTTTGAGGCCAGCAGAAAGGTCGGGGAGAGCAAGGCAGGGTTAGAAGTGTTCAGAAGAGGTGGATGCCAGGTGGGTGAAGCATTTGTCAAGACCAGAGGCTGATGTCTTTCCCATGGGGACTGTGGGGCAGCTCCTTTCACCCTGCAGGTCAGGATGACATGCCTGTGCAAAGCCGACGGAAGCACCAGTGGATCCTTGGAGTTTTCCTTGGGTGGAGAGAGGTTCCTTACCTTTGACTCTGAGACAAAAGAGTACAGAGCGGATAATTCCCTAGGTGAACGGCTGAAAAAGAAGTGGGAGAATAATGTGGATTTGAACACATTCTTGAGATACACCTTAAACGGAGATTGCAAGGGATTGTATCAATGCTCGCTGCACTGGAAGAAAGAGCTGGAGACAACAGGTAACGGGAGACAGGGAAGGTGTTGTTCTCTTGAGATAAGCTAGACCTACCCTTGTGTGAATGTGTGTGTGTAAGAGTGTGTGTATGTGTGTTTCAGCATGTAAGCGTGTGTGTGGATGGGTGTGAGTATGTTTGAAAAGTGACGAATCTGCGGCGAGTTCTTGGGAGAGTAATGGCCATGGGTGTGTTCTACCATCTCTCCTTTCCCTTCTCATCTCCTCAGGAATCTGTTTTCAGACTTGTTCCTTACTGTTCCCTCTTCTTGGAATCACTTTTCTTCATTTCTCCTGGCCTATTTCTGGAAATCCTTCAATATCACCTCAAATCAGCTCCTGGGAAGACTTCCGTACCACCTTCCTCTTGAGTGTCCTCCTCTTCTGTCACAGCAGGAGTGACTGGGTAGATTGTAACCCTTTCTTCCCCCATTAGCTCTGTGAGTCCCTTTGAGACAGGGCCCATCTCCATTCTTTGTTCCAACCCAGGATCTGTCACAGTGGCTGCCTCACTGAAAGGGGTAGAAACTGTCTGCAGCATAGGATTACCTGGGACATCAGGACTGAAAGGGGTAGAAACTGTTTGCAACATAGGATTACCTGGGACATCAGGAGCTGAGGAGGTGTCTCCTCAATTGACCCCGCCCCAGCCACAACCACACCAACCATAGCCTCAGCTTCACCAATCACAGTTCCTGCCCCAGCCACAACCACACCTACCATAGCCTCAGCTTCACCAGCCAAGACCACACACTGGTTGGCGATCGTGATCATCATTGTCATCGTATCTGTGATTGTCACCATCCTGATCATCATTTGCATCATCAGGTACTGTTACAGAAAAAGGTAAAGAGGGCAGAATTGAGTCGGAAATGAAGGGAAGATGGCCTGGAATGCAGACAGGGAAAGGTGAATTCCCAGCCTGTCCCTGCCCCCTCGCTGAATCTTCTCTTTGTGAAAATTAGACTAGGGAGCTAACATGTAATATGGCTTGATAGCAATAACTTGGACAAGCTCAGCTCTGAGTTCTGCTATCTTCTGTCAAAGCAGTGGGAAAGGAGGGTCCCATACCAAGGCTTAACAGCCATAGATGCTAAAGGGGTTTAGTGATTTCAGTCCTCACTCAGATTCTCTGTTTGGGAGAGTGTATTTGGGGCCAGTGTGTGTGGTGTGGGAAGAGCAGGCACACAGGACATGGGAAGTACTCCCATTCCCGTGAGAGCAGCATGGTGGCTCCATTTGATATATCCAGGGGAAGGGAATATCCAGGGGGCTAACAGGAGAGGGACCTGGGTTTGATACCAGGAAGAGAGGTGGAAGGTCTTGCAGAAACAATTCAAAATGCTGGAGTTCACATCTGCCTTCCCAGAAAGTGACTTGGAGACATCTGGGAAGAGAGATGGCAAACAGTATGGACTGTGCAGGACAAGTTAGATGGAAGCCATTTTTTTTCTGGAACTCCCTGGGAATCATGGCTGAGCCCTGATTCAATCACCTGGCAGCCAGTGTCTTCTACAGTTCAAATTCTGGGCCACTGAGCACCCCCTGCCTTGAGCAGAGGTGACTCCAGGGATAGGTGTGGCTGAGCTGCTGGTGGAGTTGGATGCTGACAGGTGACTGGAGCAGGAATCCATGGGGCAGGGCAGGGACACTCACTCCTCATCTTTAACCAGGATGAGGAGAGCAGGGAAAAGAAGGATCTTTGCCACAACCCCAATAGTCCCCAGTGGTAGAGGAACCAGGATGTGGGCCTCTCTCTTTGGACAAGGCTCCTCTGGGCTTTTTTAGACTCAAAACTTCAGTAGAGGGAGCATAACAGTTCATTTGCACCTTGAGTCCTGAGCCCCACCTGTCTTTAGATCTGACTTGCTTTGTGGTAAAGTGGTAGGATATGGGTATAAGCTGAAGGACCCAGGGTGGTGGTGAGAACTGATGGGGAATATATGACTCTCATGAGGATGAGCTCTGAGATGGAAGGGTTTGGGGTAGGTAGCCCCAGGGGAACTGACTCAGGATTTTCTCAGCCTGTGGAACAAACACGTGTTTCTTTTCAGTTGGCAGAAGATGCTCAAATGCTGCTGGGAGTGTGGTCTAGTTCAGAAGGTGTCTCAGCTGTTTGGCTGCGTTTCCACCTCCAGCTGTTCACCTGTTGACCTCCAGGAGCTGCAGTCCTTCCAGCAAATGCAGAGAGTTGCAGAAGGTCGTGAGGATACAGCAGATGCAATGCTCATGCCCTTTAGTCCATGAGATGTTTGGCACCTCTGCACGTTTTGCAACATTTGGCTCCATTTTCTCTTGGTGCCAATTGTTATAATTCTTGCATTTAGTTCTCCAGCTGCTTGAAGAAGAAATCTAGCCGGAGAGAACATTTCCCAGTCTCTCCTTTGGTTGTGAAAGATGAGGTAGATCTCTGCATCAGGATCTTATTGTAGCAAATGAACAAGATGCCGTGTGAGACTGCAGGGCCTCAGGGTTTCCTTCTCTGTCCTGGTCAAACCTCACCATCTTTTATTGTTATTTTATTTATTATTTGATTAATTAATTTAAAAATCCTCACCCGAGGATATTTTTTCTATTGATTTCTAGAGAGAGTAGAAGGGAGGTAGGAAGGGGTTTCTAGAGAGAGAGAAACATGGATAAGAGAGAGACACATGAATTGGTTGCCTCCTGCATGTAGCCCTACTGGGGCCGGGGAACCTGCAAAGGGAGGTATGTGCCCTTGACCAACCTTTGGGCTGATGTTCTGAACACTGTGTCAAAGCAGCCAGGGCGTCACCGTCTTTTAAAGGGGAAAATGATATTTATGATGGTTACTTTTAGAACGTTTTAAACTATGTAATGCTACTTAAATTTATATCTCTCTATAAAGTAATACTTTAAAAATACAATTCCTAGGGAATTTTGTTTTATAACACACAGTATTTTAGGTGATTATTGTTTGTCTACGTCATGCAGTAAATAAAATCAGGGATTCTGATAAATTACTATGGAAACAGAATTTACCATCTTAGTCATATTATGGAATAAAAAAATCATATGGATCCTAAGGAATGAGGATTTTTCTGATATTACCAGCACATCCACCCCCACAGTGACTTCTCTGTGATTCTGTCCCCGTAGACTCACCTCCTTCAGTGGCTGAAACATCTCTATTTTTAAGAAATATATTTTATTGCTTTTTATAGAGAGGAAGGGAGATAGAGAGTTAGACAAATTGATGAGAGGGAAACATGGACCAGCTGCCTCCCAGTGGGGATTGAGCCCCCAACCAAGGTACATGCCCTTGGCCAGAATTGAACCCAGGACCCTCCAGTCCACAGGCTGATGCTCTATCTACTGAGCCAAACCGGTTAGGGTGGAAACATCTCTACTTCTCAAAGCTGTTTAATCCCCTCATAACAAAGAATCAGCATCCAGGATATATAAAGAGCTGCAAATAAATTAGATCCCATCAAATTGTTCAAAGATATAGGAGAAAGGTGGTGAGGAGTCCAAGGAAAATAAATTTTTAAAAATAATTCAGCTATTTTATTGGATGTGCTTTGCCTCCATGGATGAGGGGCTGTCTTCAGTCACTCGGAACATTTGATTCTGGTGTTTCCCTCTTGGCATGAGATGCCCGTAATTTTTATTTCAATTCCTTTTGGATCTTTATATCACAATGCACATTATTATTGATTATTGTCTGTATCAGTCTACTTCCTCTGTGATCTTTTATTTTTAAGGACTGCATGATCCTCTGTCAAGTTTCCTTGTCAAGGGTCGGGGGAGCGAAGGAGACATATGTAATACTCTTTGTAATACTTTCAGCAATAAAACAAAATTTAAAAAAAGATTTGCAAACCTATTCACTGAACTCCTATTAGAATAGTGAAAACTGAAAGGAACAACTGTGCAAACTCTCTCCTAGGAGTTTCACGTCTCTTGTATAGTAATAAAGTCCTGTTGCCAACATCTTAAAAAACAAACAAACCCCAAAACACAAACGAACACACAAACAAACAAAAACACACACAAACGAATGCGTAAGGCAAAGACCCCATGGATCTTCAGAACTCCCGGTGATAGCGGCTGTGCAATGTCCACACGGATTTGGAGTTGGGGGTGGGTGGGCAGTGGAATAAATGAGAATTGGCAGATGGATCCTCAGACTCCTCCTCACAGAACTGTCAATCCGCAGGAGTCTCAACTGGAGATCTCAAGAGCAGGAGAGAGAAAAAAAAAGGCGGTTGTGGCAGCGGATGAATCACCATTCTCAGCCCTGTAGTTGCTAAGTCCTGTGATTTCCTCCTCTGGGCAACACACACACACACACACACACACACACACACACACACACACGTGCAGGGACTGACCTGGACCCCTATCCGTGTACTGCTTCACCCCAGGGAGAGACGGGTCAGGGCGGGTGGACGCGCCGGGTACAGGGGCAGGAATCGGCCCCTGATTACACTCCCAAGGGCAAGTGCGTTTTCCGAAAAGCCACTGATGAGTGAAGGCAGGACTGGTCCGCGCCTGGGCCCGGGCGCTTTGGGGCGGGAAGCCTGCGCTGTGTGCGGTGCGGCGAGGGGTGTGGAGGAGGAGATGGTGGGAGAGGGTTTTGTTTTCCCCCTTTTTTCCTAAAAAGGATGACTGCTACGAAGTTCTCCCCCAGGACACCCTCTTCCGCTGCACCCCACGGGGGCACCCGCCTCCGGGCTGCGCACCTTTCTCCTCCTCCTGCCCCAGCGCTGGCGGGGAGGCCCGGAGCCCGGTACCTTCGCTGGCAGAGGGGGCGGGTAGGCAACGAAACCCAGAGCGGCGGGCAGGCGGGAGGGCTGGCGGGCGTTCTGATGGAAAATACATTTTGAAAAGATTGAAAAGCTCACAAATAATCCACATAATACAAATAAAAAGTACAATAGATACCCTCACACACTCATAAAAGTGTCAAATATTTTAAATTGTGTCAACCCTAATCACTGGACAGGAAATTCAGTAACAGGAATTTTCTTGCATGGTTGTTAGAAGTCTGAATTGAATCAACCCCGTGAAATATGACAGTATCTAGTACAGTGGACTCATCATATATGGAAATCTGAGTGTTACTTAAAGTCTTAGAAACATGGACTAGAAAGTATGTGGATACTATATGTTTTTTTTATTGTAGTATTGTATGTCATAGCAAAAAAATAGCAACAGGTTAAATATTCAGAAAAGGAAAATCTATTTAAAATGCTGGTAAAATATTTCTACTTCTCTCTACCTGACAGACAAAATAATCTAGACCTCTCTCAAATTTGAAACAACCAAGATGCTGAAAGAAAACATTGAAATCTTCAAAATATTCATGATGGCACCTGTTTCACAAGACCAGTGGCCATCTAAATGCAAATCTCTCTGCTTGAGGCTAAGACCAACAGTAGTTAGCATAATTATGGGAGAAGTCTGCTGGAAGGCTAAAGGACTTTGATATTCAGCGGGGCTGAAAATCAGCATAATATCGTCCTGCTGTTGGCTGAATGGCAGAAGGCAATCC